GCATCAACCAGAAGCTTCCATTAAAATGGGTTCTAGTTTGATAGGCAGAATTTTTGAGCGCGATATCTTGACAGTCATTGCACAAACGTTTCCGCCGTCGTAACAGGGTTATTGTTCTTTTTTGAACACTAACCTGCTGTACTCAACATTTCGCCATGAGATGCGGCCAACGAGCAAAATTGCAGAACCTCGTTCCCAGGAAATGCACCTGATTTCTGCGTTGTCCGAAGCCGTTATCAAGCCGGATGGACTAGAGGTTGAAATCTGAACGCAGTTGGCTATTGAGTTAACGATCTGCCGCCGAACTACGTGGCTGCGTCCTTTTCAGAATGCACTCGGGAGTATTCCGTGGCATGGCAGTATGATTAACCTCCTCATCTTAATTACGGAAAGAATTGCCGACCTTGCCATTTTCATATGAAACTCTAAACTTAATATCCACTATGCGTGATGAACTGCTCAAAAGAAACTTTAAGTTGGTATGAACAGTCAAAATTTACCAAAAAACGGTATGTGCTGTCAGGCACGTTTTGTTTACTAACTGCACTGACACGACTGCTTGGGAGATGTGCCGATAATGTCCAAACACCATATGCTGCCTCCCCTTGGGGATTTACAATTGTGCTTCAACTCATTTCTGGAATGAAGTTGGCAGAACCACATTTTTGAGGTATGATTACAAGGTTTTGTAAAGATCGGAGATGATGTCAGCCAACTTCATTTGATAAGTATTTGTTTACACCGACTCAACTAACTGTAGTATGCATTTAACACGGGCGGGCGTTTCACCCGATGGGTAGTTGTTTTTGCTCCATCGTAGCTAAAGCCTTAAGATGTGGTTATGCGGCCCCACGTGTTGGATACAGTGCTGCTGGGGTTGTGGTTGGGGTTAAAGGTCAGAGTTAGGGTTAGGGGTTAGGGCAATTATTTCTCAATCACTCAAAGTACAACCGCGCATTCCCAATAGCTTTTCTTCTGCATACACCCGTAAAAACCCACCTGTAAAAACCCTAGTTGCTATCTGTCCCTTATTACGTGTGGCTGGGGTTTGTTAACTTCAGGTGGGGCTACATAACAACAACTAAACCCTGAAAGGTTCCGGCCAATGCTACGCCGTTATAGAGGCCTGTTTGCAGTTTTCATGGCGTCATCTTTCTACGCTGCTTTTTTCGGTTCGAACATGCGTGCAGTACATATGCTATCTGCTGAAACGTTAGCTATTATTCTAAAATGTCTTTTCGATCCAATAAATATTACTTTCGTAGGGTTGTAATATGAACCATTGCATAATAGAATACCAAAATATTCCGGACATATTTGTATACCAGCTTTTGAACGAGTTCCTTATCGACCACCTGTATATGTAAAAAGTGGAGGAAATGGCTGCTTATATGGCATGAATATTTTTATTGAACTTTACTACTCTTAAAAGGCCAAGCATATTTCCCAATAAAACATGCTGGAGGATATTTTTCGCTTACCCATAGGTAACGTTTTAACTTAAAAAAACCATAATTTTTGTTTTAAAAATCTTCTCAACTTCCGAGTTATCTAAAACCCGACTGACCGTCTCATTAGTTCACAGGGCTTTCAAACTATGAACTGCATACTCTTCATGCGAGAAAAATTATATATACATATATATATATTTCTACATTCCGTTATAAAAAGGCGTGTAAGTTAGTAAACCTTTGCAATGGATGTGGACCCTATCTTACGATTTATAAGCAGCATTAATGTGCTGATGCGATGGTATACGATCAGACATTTCGAGGTCTTAAAAATCTCATAACTAGACACTTCTTTAAAACCGCGAGATATTTGTTTTTCAAGGTAAAAAAATTGAAGAAAATGTAATTTATCACCAAAGACGTAAAAAAAAGAAAATTTTCGTGCATGTTTTCCATAAAAAGATGTGAATTTATAACAGGTTCAAACTCAATTTTAATTATCCATGCTACTTAAGTAGACACCTCTTACGGAAAGTAGTTTACGCAGGCGGTCAATACGAAGCTCTTTTGCAACCCAGCATCTTGACGTGGCTGAATGTTTTTGGTGTTATGCCACATGCCATTTGAGATTGCATTTCTTCCAAAGCAGTCTTTCGTAAATGAAAACACACTTCAGAATAACAGTCAACCTTTCATGAGCAGGCACATCTTTGGCAGTTGAAATGCTCCTAAAAGGCCCTTCTTGGAGATAATACCACCTCCCATATTTTCAGATTTTAGAATAACTACTTTTACACAGCGTCTGTCAGTTTAAGCGGTCAAGAGGGCTTGACTGAGTCCACAGTAAAATGCTGAAATTCAGACATTGTACAGTTGAAAATTGCTTTCTTTAATTTCCAAAGAAATTAATGCGCGAACTTGGAGTAAGTCCTTCGAAACGGGCCTGTTCAGGGACGGTTCAAAGTTTGATATGAATATTTGAGCTGAATTCTATCAGCTGCTGCGGAATAACCGCTAAATATTCACAAACCGCCAACAGGCAGCCAGTAGAATAGAACTCTGCAATGATTTACCGTACTAACAACATGGGTATTAAAAATTGTCCAAATCAATACCCCTTATTTTATTATGCCTCATTATTGTCGCCACACTGGCGCGCAGACCGCTGAGTCACGGTCAGTTACGGGCTAAAAATATATGCGGGCGCGCCATTCTGGCCATGAAAACCGCCCTGTTCATTTTAGCTCCTGCCGCAGCGAAACCCATTCTGCCGGACATCAGACTGAAAAAATTTAGACTAGAGTCTGTATGCTGCTTTTTTAGCGCAACCATTTGCTGAGATCGCACCTACATAGAACAGGACATATAATTCAGACTTGGCTAAAGACAGACAGTAGGTCCGAAATGGCCATCCCGCTCTCACAAGATTTTGTTGGATCTCCCTTCAACACAGATACACATATATTTTGTTGTTGTCAAATAATGAAAGAATATGCAACGTTAGTCACTTTGTCGGTGACCACGAGAACATTCACTCGAGAGCCGGTCACCTAGCGTGTATGAAATGCGCTATATTTATTATGCCTATTAGTCATCACCAAGATGTCACTTCAGTAATATTCCTTCACCGGAACCATATAGCAGATTGTTATAAATGCTTCTTGAATGTTCCATATTAGTTGACCTAAAGTGTTTTAGGAGACTTAAAAAACCACAAACTTGATCCTTCAACGTAACAAAATTAGGCAGATCTGTCTTCAAAAAAGGACTCCTTGCCCTCTTTGAGCTAGGCAAAATGCTATTACCGATAAAGACAAGCGGGACTGGAATGGCCGTTTCTGGCTTATTAGCCGTCGGCATTCAGTCGTACCCAACCGCGAAGAGTGGAACTCCCGAGGCTCGAACTCGCGACATGTTAATTAGAAGTCCAACGCCTCTAATCACTGGTCCACGGGTCCGTTTTCCTGTCGGTTCGTTTGGGAATATACACTGGCAGGAGAGCGCTCACTGATCGTCCTTATGGAACTCGTCCCAGTGTGTATTACGGGCTCTATATCGATCCCCACGTGCGCCCCCCCTACCATTTTATATTCCAGATCGAAACCGACAGGACAACGGGCCCATGGCTTAGTGGTTAGAAGCGTGGACTTCTAACTAACGGGTCGCGAGTTTGGGCCTCGGGTGTTCCACACTTCGGGGTTGGGCATGACAGGCTGACGACGGCCAATAAGCCAGAATTCGCCATTCCAATCTGTCTTGTCTTTGTCGATAATGCCATTCTGCCTATATCATGCGCCGTTGTGCGGTTGCTGGTTGCGTTCGAGAGACACAACGGAACGAGTGAGTACCGTAAGAATGATCAGTGAGCGCCCCTCTACGATCTCTTCGAGCTTTCCACCGTTCCACTGGACAGCAGTTACTCAATTCTTTGCAAATTTTACACTGCGTCGTTAAGTCTGAAAAAGTTAGCATCGAGTAGGACGAAGGAGGTCACTGCGTTTCTTGATAAGCCAGAGAAAGATGACTAGGACAGCTGGCGTCTCCCTAGATTCCGAGCTCTTGCGAGGGTATTTGTGAAATCAAAGGTATTAGTGGCTCTTGCTGAACTAGTTGCTATTTCAAATTTTCCCAGGTTTCACCTTATTGCTGATATATGTCCGGCCAGAGGTGCCCAGAGTAGTCTCCTTGCTACATTGAAGTATTTGCCCTGATAGCCACCGGAGAAGAGTCAAAAAAACGCAGGCTAGGGTGCGCCAAAAATCCACCACTATCGGGGATTCCATCTTGTAAAGTTGGAATAACAAAAACACTAAAGAATATTCTATAACTGAATGTCCTCCTTGTAGATTTTGCACATCTGCACACGAACAAACCAGATTAATGAACACTGCTCCCAAAAATCCTGAGCGAATCGTGTCCATGCTATTTAATCAACCAACCAGTAGACTCAGACCGATGACATGAACACTCCTACAGCGTGGATTTAAATTCATGAGCTTGTTGCGACCATCCTAATGATGAAAAGTCCTTGCGATGACCATTCTTTACCCGCATGGCGTATAGTCTATTATTAACATAAAAACAACACTGACTCCACTGCCTGTCAATCGGTCGATGGATTCCTTGGTCTGTTGTCAACAACCGCACCTCAGTCCAGCTCCTGATCTAATCAGCAGTCCCTGTCGTGTGGCTA